GTTGTGCGCGCGGTTGTAAGTGTTAACTCTGAAGCTTCAAACTGCAAACCCCAGGCTTTGGGTTGCTTGCTACATGAAGTCCTGGGCGGGCTCGCGGTGCTTTCGCAACACTTTCCAACCTGAAAGATTTGCTGTTTGCGGTTGTAGGGATCATGTTTGCATTGCTCACCATGAAACATTTACCGTTGTGCGCAAGCTTTACCGGCCACCTACACAGCATGGGCCCACTCAACAACATGCTCTTCTTATGACGATGGCGCAGCATTTGCTTTTACTTCACTACTGTCGAGTGAGCTAGGGCTGCGTCGTGTATGGAAGGGCTTTTTACGGCATAGCCCCGCACCCATGAACACAAGAAGAGAGAAGCCTGTATGACAGCTGAATAGTGTTTTTTAAGGAGATTATAGTGCGCAAAATAGAGCAAGCTATTATTCTTCTGTGAGTATAGTGCTCTATACGAAGAATGTAACCTTACTTGGTTCAAAAAATCAATACTCAGTTGAGGTTCGAATGTGTAAGCATCCACTTGTTTAGACCCCAAACGTGAAACTACTAATTCATTACATTACATCTTGTGAAGCTAAGAAGGGATCAGAGCGCCCAATTCCAACCTGAAGCCAAGCTGGGGGTCTCTTGACTCTTGATGCGTCCCGTGCAAGTTCCTGACAATGGCCCTGGTCATCTTAGATATTTCTTCCTGTCCCGGAGGGCTTTCATGTCTTGAGTTTGAAGGCCTTTCTCAGCATGTGAAACTTCCCTAAACCCTATTGTTTCTATACAGCTTATGCAACGTATCATAAGCATCCATAAGTTTGAGAATCGCAGATGTTCAGGAGTTTCGGCTGATATTTACCCAGGGCGAGATAGCCTTGTCGGTTCCCAGAGCAAGCCGGACACTGCAGTTGAGGGTTCAAGTTTTTGCGTTCTACTTTTTTGGATTTAGGGTACAAAGTTATCGGGCTAGGGTCTTTGTGGTTGGGGCATTAGGTTTGAGGCTTATAAGACATGATGCGCCTCTTTTGGTTGAAGGCTTTCGGCAAAAGGGTTTCCTTGAGGGTTGCGTCCAAAATTACAGCGTAGGAAGTACACATGCCAGACCCTAAGCACCTGAGCCCTCAACAGAAAACCTTCGCATGACTCAAACTCTCCACCCCAGTGCGCCATAAGGGTAGTGTTGGATCCTCATCAGTTCCCCTTGCCCCCCCAAAACAAAAAAGGATGCCTCTGTAATTCAAGTCCTCAACACGAATGGGGGGTCTGGAGGGTCCTATGGCTCCTATTAAAATCAATAAGGGAAGGGAGGTCATTCGGCTTTCTGAAACTTCTAGGGGCTGGCTCAGTTTAGCTTTGAAGAGAAAAGGAAGGGCAGGGTCCTGGGCAATAGAGCGCGGCCTTTATGCTTAATGGCCTGGCCTTCAAAACCTTTTGCCATCAATCACAATCTAATTAGAATCGTTGAAAATCTACTTGGGAGCAATTATGACCTCCAGTCAGCCAGAATTAAATTCCATGTAAGTCAATTAGAAATAATTCTGTGAGACTTTAAGACAACTGAAACGACTTAATTAAAATGGCCTCACAATTATCCCAGCCAGAAAAAACTTGACGTAGGTGCCCCCCAAATCATTCCTATCATTTAGGATCAGAGGATCTGCTGGACTATCTTCTTTGGAATTTAATTGCCTAGCCTATTCGAATAAGCGGTTTCATTAACAAAAAGTGATGGTGTTAGTGCATCAGGTTCCAGGTTCCGAAAAAGTAGTAGAGCCCGGCCTTCACAATTGAAGGCCTGGCTTTTAAAACCATGAACATTCTGGCCTCATCAAGAACCTTCCCCAGATTTTTCAGCAGAAGAACTTTATTGGCGCCCTGCATTTTGAATAGGAACAGGGGGTCCAGAATGATTCTCTGGAAGCTTTACTTTATTGCCACCACCCCCCACCCCCGGCAACATTAAGGGTAGGGTTGAGGTGTGTGGTTTCGGAATTCGGGGGTTTGAGGCTTGGGCTTAGGGTTTGCGATTTTCACGCGTCAACCCCGACAAGAATCTTCTAAACATACTGCAGTTCAGTCTCAGTTTGGGGAGGTTCTTGAAAAGACAATCCTTGAGACTCGAAACCCCAAATTCCCATGCAAGGTCCCTGCCTTGGCAAATTACCACTCTGTGCAGGACCACCATCTACAGGAACAGGTTTCGCAGCCTGTCTCGCGGGCGTTTGTTCATGCTCCTGACCATACATCTAGCGCGGGCAGGTATCTGAGTGCTGAAATGACTGTTTGCAAAAGCGAGCGTCCCCCCGTATACTAAATCCCTAGGTACCCTGCAACAAAATCACCGTAGCAAGAGCTCCCGCGAAGAGAAGCCAACATGTTTTAGAAAACCTGAAGGTTGATTCGGCTTCCTTGCGTAGGCGGTGCTAGTGCAAGGAAGCTCGAAGGTGCACCTAAGCCATGAATTCAAACAGGGCTGGGGCCATTATGTTGTGAAATATGGCGCGCCGGCTTATATGAGGATTCGGGCAGTATGCCTAGCACTCAAGGCTGTACATGACCTTGTTTACTTTGCAGCTTGTCGTTTCGAATACACTCGGACGCTAAATCATATCCTAAGCCTTACCCCAAACGGTGTCACTATGAGGATAAGTGCGAACCATGTTCTCGCTCATTGTTTAAGCGGCTAGTTAGGCGGCTCTGAAGAGAGTTTGCAACCCAAGATCATCATTTGCAATTGCTAGTTAAACGGCCCATGAGCGCTGAAGCTTGTTATAATTGTAATCACTAAGCACTAAACCCCTCTCTACTCCCCTTGAATCTCTGAGAAAGGCATTGCTTCCATCCTTTTGGTTGCCGGTATCCTGTGGTTGGCCCGTACGACATCCATCCAGGACCTGATGCTGGGACATTGTTGGAAATGGTTTAGTTGTTGCTTCATTGTTGGGATTGGGGAGGCTGTCAAAATTCTGAATCACTTTTGTTTGGGGGCAATGTCAGGAGTCCATCAGAGGAACAGTGTTTTGAGAATACCGGCATGTTGCAAGTACACCGCATGCTCGAACTATGCCTATGCCTATGCAATAACCAAAGAGAGCATGTCAAGGCTTTGGGTTTCAATTGTGGTTTTGACTTGAACGAAGGATGTTGAACGCAGTTGCGCTGAACGCCATCCTGGACGTGGATGAGTTCCTCTTTGTTGGTATGACACCCGCAAAGATCCAGGAAGCGTTGCGAAAGTTGAAACCCATGCGAGTGGATTACAGCCACACACGAAGTCAGTTCGAATCTGTGGTGCACTTCGGGGCTCTTGTGGTCGTCGTGCTTCTCTCTTACTTTTTGCTGTTGGTCCCCCTCCAGCAGGATATGTTATCTGTGAAGAGAGAAATGTGTTACGGCAACCAGACATTCGTCGTTTCACACAACACAGATACACAGCGGACGATTGGGCTTGTCACAGTGCTCTCGAGAGATATTGGAAATGACTCCATAAGCGAGATTGCAGTGCGAGCTCACAAGGCGACCTCCCCGGAGACAACCCCTGATGCTTTTTCAACCTACATTTCGTTCGCGCCGGATATCGATGCCTTCCAAGAAAGGAGGTCTCGCACAATGAGGGAAGAGGCATCTGCGTATCCCTTCTGTGTGGAGGCTCGGCTCCTAAACACAAGTGGTGACTTGTACGGAGATGCCTCCTTGTTACCTTTGGCCACGCAGCTGGTGAACACTGCAGCTGCCACTGTTGGGCGCGACGGCGCCACTACCTGCCAAGAGATGAAGGACACCCAAATTCCTGTAGGAAGCTGAGTTCAGTAATCATGCAGGCCCTTCTAGTCTTACGGATGCATCTAGTCTCCTCAAAAGAACCATATGCAAGCCACTTGGGACTTGTGAAAGCTCTTTTTGATAATGTCGGAACATGTTGGAACCAAGCAGGATCAGTGCCACCGACTCAACGGGCGCTTATTGCGCCTGGTGTGCGGACAGACATGTGGATGCACGGATCCCTATAGTGCCCCTTGGTACAAGACGGAATCTGGGACATGTTTGAGAAGATTGTTCATTCAAACCTTGGCTATCTGTGAAAACCGAAGCTCGATGCAATATCCAACTGGGAGTTGTCTAACAAAAGCTTGTTTGGGAGAAAGGCCTGTCTTCAAGGGTGAGGCCCTAAAACTACGTAGTGGTCACAGACGCAGTGTTGGCATACGGGCCCAGGAAACGCAGGGCTGCGCATCCACTTGCCTGCGCATCGCTCGCAGGACTCCTGAGAACTTTCAAAACGGACCAAAGCCCAATTGAAAGTCGGAATACCCATTTAACTGTTCAACTAAAGATCAGTCAGGCTTTACGAGCGCCACTCAGAACGCTTCTTATAGCAGTTGCCCAAGGGCTGCCTTCAGACTTCCCTAGTAGCAAGATTTGGCTAGATCTTGAAGTCCTGGAGGGTGGGCTGCTTACTCAACCCACCCTTCAGCCTCAATTCCTGAATGAAGCGTCTGAGTTCACTAGCCCAAGCCCTGCTCTCCAGTGCCAATCCAGCTCTCGAACCTAGCGCCCGCACACGTATTCCCCAAAAACGTTTCCTAAACGCAGCACAATTTCTGGCATGATTTCTGACACATGTTTTGTGTCACTCAGTCTGGCCTCCCCAGGACCCTAGAACCCCCAGGTATTAACGGGACCAAATTAAAGGGGAAGCCCGCAACTCAAAAGTTGATGCTGAAAGCCAACAACCCGGCGTCCGGAACCTTCAGACCCAAACATGAACCCCAATCTCTAAACGGCGGCACGATGGAGGACTCTCGCCCGGAGCAACTGTCAAGATGTGGCTAATACGAACCATGGTTGGCAGGCCCTTCCAATGCTTGGGGGTAGCGTTCCAGCGCATCAAGCAGTTTAGGATCCCTCGTTGTAGGATACTGGAATTGCAATGTCAGGGGATACGTACGAACTGTATGGGTAGTGTGAAGCGCGCTACCATTCACCGAGTACGACTCAGTGACAACTACAAGCCAATATTTGATCTGATTCAGGCTACGATCTGCCACTGGGAGCCTCAATTATCATTGTGGACACTGCCGGGGGTGGGGGATAACTTGATAGCCGTGCAACTTTGGGTCCTAGGCGTAACCCCCCGAGGGTAATAGTCTGGCTTTGAGGTAGAGGCCTCGTGAAGTTCAGTAACCTGTGAGCTTGTACAAGACAGGGAAAGATGCAGGCTTAGCTGAATGGCCAGCTCAGGGTGTAGGATTCAGGGTTTAGGGATTAAGGTGCTTACTGAACTACAGGGCCTGAGGGCCCCAATTACCAGTACAGGAGGTGTCTGACGACAACGGGCATCTGGTTTTTGGAGGAATGACCTGAGTCTGCGTCATCCCTAGATATAGCCAGAGCATCCAAAACAATATTCAACACAATATTGTTGCACTTCTAGATTATAGACACTGTTTCTTTGAGTGTGAGCCCATAGCCCAGCAGGCGTTCTGGTCCCTCTACCCGACTGTGGCCATGGCCTACTTCGGAGAGGGTGCCCAAGCCAACATGGGGTCCACGGTGGCCCAAACAGTGGACAGGATGCTGACAGGGGGATGTCAAGCGCTAATAGAGCACCCCACCGACGCCGTGATGGATGTGGAATGGTGCGAAGGGATGCCAGACTTATTCCGTCCGTTGGCACACCTGTGCCCTGAGAGTTGCGGTTGCAACCTGTCGTCCGGAACACTCCCAAGCTACTGTCCAAGTAGCTGCAACTTTTCACGCTAGCTTTCATGACTGGGAGCGTCTCATCACAGGCACGTAATAATGCATGGTAGGAATTGCTCACGGTTCATCGTGGTCATGACGCTGCGGTGGCAGCGACGGCAGTGATTTCGGCCTGCTGGCTGATGTTTGCAAGACTGTCGAGCATTCATGGATGAGCACTTTTGCAAGTGTTAGAACCATTCTACATCATGATGGTAATGCGCCCATGAGCAGGACTAAGGTGCACTTTCCGCTCATTAGCAGAAAGGTCAGAATTGAATCTAGATTGCGAGACGCACCCAGCCAATTTAGTCAAATATATGCAAATACCAGCGGGTACATGGCTGAGCAGAACGGGCTGCTTGCTCAGTGTTTGGGTCGGGGTGCTGTACTTTCACCAGACCCAGCTTCGAGGCAACAGGTGCGCAAGGGGTATGGGGCCTCATCAGAAGCCTCTAAAGTTAGCTTCGCATTGATGAATCCCCGTCGATTGACTACTTGCATCCTGGCAGAGCCCTGGAATAAACATGCCAAAGCTGTAGGTTTGACAATCTAGTTAGAGTCAGTTGGAATCTGATTAAAATCGTTGCCCCGAAACAATTGAGATTTTTCGTGATTTTACACATGTGGGTCGTGTTCTGATTAGTTATAATTGTGTGCTAGCAGGTGATTTTATAAATGTGGGGTAGTCCTTATAATATGAAGTCAACGTTGCCAGGAAAGCTATCGTCACCAGGGCAAGCATGCAGGTCCTACAACATGTTGCCTGTGGGAGTGCCTCCAGGCATGGAATCCTCATTTAATGAGGACTAAATAGGAGTTCAGGTGTAGGTCAGGTTTGGACCTTTGCATGTATGCTTCAATCTGAGCTAATGCATGGCCACCTGCTGTGGCAGGTTTAGGCCCTTCAGCTGCCATGAAATCCATTGATTTAGGGGGACATGTGTTGCTGCGATTGGTTGCGATTGCCCGTAAAACATGTGTAGCCGCGTTCCAGCATTGATGCTGTTAAAAGTTAGGGGTTTAGGCAGTTGCGGGTGTATGATTCAGAGGTGTGAACGGCAGCTTTGTGAGCTGTGTACCTGCACCTCTTCATTTTCAGACTGGCTCGCCTCCCAATCGCGGGTCACCTTGTTTTGAATATGATCTTTGGCCTGGGTTACTGGCAATGCCGATATCAGCGCTTTACGCATACATAAATCCCTATCCTTGAATCACGCGGCAGCAGCAAGAATTTGCCTCAGTAATCCCCAACATGCCCTAGCAGGCCAGTATGATAATAAAGGGACTCGAAGGATCATGCTAGCTAGCCTCCTCTCCGCCCAAATCTCCATCAGACCTTCAGCCCGGAGCACTTAAAAAGCCAAACAGCGCCTGCCTAGCCGCGAACCCTAAACATGTTGGTCACCTTGGACCCGAGTTGCCCGAGTTCCCAGGCCGCTGTCTGCAGACTTTGTAACAGAAGCACTGCAAACAGCAGTGCGAGAAAAGTTTCACATGTGCTGTCTTTTCAAATCAAGCAAAAACGATATTCCAGGATTGTTTGACAGCGCGCCTGCGCGGGTGTAGGAGTTGGATTCTTCACAGAGGGCAGCAAGTTGGACGGCAATATGTTTTGTGGTTGAGAACTTATGTGGATGAACGTGCCCAAAGTAGGTCCGCTATGCCACTATGTATCTCCTTGACCCGCCTTAACAAGGACACCCCTGTGCCAATGCCTGAGGAAGGGTGAACTGCGTTTCTACACAAAAACGTTGGGATGCACGGCTGCAACCGAAACTGTCCCCTGCCACTACAAGCCGCTCAATCCTTGAGGTAGCCCTGAAGGAATCACTTATGCGGATGCTATTCCATCCGGCCTGTTCCCAATTCCTTTTCTATAGAGTCCTCAATATGATTCCTCCCTTCCCTACAAAGCACTAGGAACTCGGCAGACTGCTCAGATGTGAAATGGCTGCAGCTGCCGCGCTGACATACCGCCGCGCCAGACAAACCCCTCAGCCGCAAACCTCGAGCAAAAACACCTTATATTGCCCTGCCCCAAACCTCAACAGAAACGCTGGAGCTGCTTGCAGTTGAAGTCTGGTGCAGGCGTCGCGATCGCGGAAGCGTACCCCCTTGCCGGTCAAACTCTGAAAGCCGAAATGCTAGCAGTTGCGGGTGATTGTCCAGGGTTTAAGGTTTTGTTCGGGCTTTGGATTTAGGGTAAAAGGGTGTAAGTTTAGGGTAATCTACACGCATTTTCCAATCCTCCTTTCATACACAGGCCCTGTATCTCTTCATAAAATCTCAACAGCAAGCTGCATTCGTGTTCCAGGCAATGGGATGGAGCAGCTAAACCTCAGACTCTAGGTAGAGGTAAATCGGACTGCGTGCAAGAGAGATCAAGCTCGTATGATCTCTGTGAAACCATCGAAGCTCCTTTACAGTACAAGCGAACTTTTCCCTGCTTGTCCTGGCAAACTTGTATACTATGATATTTCAAACCTGCATTAAGACGGTCTTGTACTCCAAGTTTGGACCCTCGACCCTATACCCGCATTCTGGGGACATGGTCCCTGGCATAATTCAAGCCCCTGTGGGCGCAGTGCCTGGCCCTGACTTCTGGGCTCGAACTGGCTCGGCTAAGTCGGCTAAGTGGCATGGTGTAATTAGAAGGTGATGTGCCCTTAATTCAAATTCCCTACAGCGCCTTCCAAAATTCCTGATGCTCGGTACACGTCTCGCAGAAACTCTTGTGTCTGCTCCTGTCAGCACCTGAGCGAAGCCAATGGCCTAAAAGGACGTCTTAATAACAATTATCTGTTTTGCGTCTCCACTCGAGGGGTTCGAAGGTTGGTACCGTTGATGCCTCCGCAGGGTTGGCCCAGCCCATTCCCAACATGAACTTACATTCCTGTCCTATGTCCCACAGCGACCCGCAACAAATCCCCCTGACTTGCTGTCAGCAGAAGACGAGCACTGAAAAGGGCAAGAACTTGAGCCTAGAGTATGGTGGGACAGCAATCCCACCTCAATTGCTGCAACATGTATGG